GAAAAAAGACGGGGGGGAAGGGAAGGGGTGGGGAGGGGAGGGAAGAGGGGAGGGGAGGGGAGAAGAACAGAATGAACGTTTAGACAACTGGTAAAGACCCCCCCCCCCCCAAAAAAAAAAAAAAAAGCCAAAACCGATATAGCATTTCTTCTCGCCGTCAAAATGCCAGGACAAAAAGCGGCATTCATCCCCCCCCCCCCCACCCCCTACACCCTCCACATCTCACTTCCACCCCTCCCTCCTCCCTCCCCCTCCCCCTGATCAATTATTGAAATCGAGTGTGCCTTTTCATGTGAGATTTGTGATATGCCGGTAACTCTACAGGCAAACGTATCGTCAGGGAGGGAGGAGAGGAGGAGGAGGAGAAGGGGAGGGAGGAGCTGGAGGGAAGGGAGGAGGGAGGGAGAGGAAAGAAGGGAGGGAGGGAGGAAGGGGAGGAAACGGGAAGGGAGGGGAAAGAGAGAGAGAGAAAGAGGGAGGGAGGGGAGAGAGAGAGAGAGGGAGGGATGGAGGAAATAGGGAGGAAGCTGAGGGAAGGGAGGGAGTAGGAAGCTGGAGGGAGGGAAAGAGAGAGAGAAAGAGGGAGGGAGGAGGAAGCTGGAGGGAAAAGGAGGGAGGGGGGAGAGAGTGAAAGAGGGAGGGATGGAGGAAGTAAGGGAGGAAGCTGGAGGAAAGGAGGAGAGAGAGAGAGAGAGAGAGAGAGAGGAGGGAGGAAGGGAGAGGGAGAGGGAGAGGGGGTATCATCTCAGAAGGCTGCACGGAAAGAGATCAAAGAAGGCGGGAAGTGTGAAGCGTAGAGGGGAGAGCGAAAAGTGATTCTGAGGGGAAAGTGAAACGAAGAAGGGGGGGGGTGAGAGGAGGGAGGGGAGGGGGGAGGAGGAGAGGGACAAGAGGAGAGGCGAAGAGGGGAGGGAGTGGTGAGGGGAGAGGACAAGAGGGAGAGGCGAAGGGGAGAGGGAGAGAGAAGAGGGGAGAGGAGGAGGGGGAAGAGGAGAGGGAAGAGAGGGAAGAGGAGAGGGGGAGGGTGATGGACAAGGTATATCCATCACATTTACTCTGATTCGGGTGCTAAAAGGGGGAGTGATTAATGTACGTCCATTAGGAGATGCAAAGACAGTTAAAAGAGAGATTGAAGTGTTCCCGCCAGATTCTCCCCGTGTTCGGATGCGTTGTTTCAATTTTTGGTGTTCGTTTCTCTCCCTCCTTGCAACGTTCTTATAGATGGGTGGGAGGGAGGGAGGGAGGGGGGGGGGTAGTCTGTTCACTTGATTATATGAGATTTTTTAAAAGAGTTTTTTGTATTCTATTGAGTGTATTCATTCGTGTTAATGTATAGGTGGAAAATTTGTGAAAAAAAAGGAATGCAATTCTTTTTTTTCTTTTTTCATCTCTTTATCTATTTATTTCCATTTTATATTTATTTACCATTGCATGGACCAAGATATTTTGATGTTTTTTATGATTTTCAACTACTGACTTACTATTCTTTCCCCATTTCCCTTCTCTCTCTCTCTCTCTCTCTCTCTCTCTCTCTTCTCCCACTCCCCCTCCTACCTCTTCCCTTGTCATTTCCTATTTTTTCTTTTTCTTCCTACTCCCTCCTCCCCTGTCCTTGTTATATTTAGCTATCCACCTACATTAACACACACCACACACATATACGCAAACACACACACACATACACGCAAACACACACACACACACACACACACACACACACACACACACACACACACACACACACGACACACATACATGCGCACACACATACACACACACACACACACACACACACACACACACACACACACACACACACACACACACACACACACACACACACGTCCACGAAAGACGAAAAGGGATACAAAAAAGAAAGAAAAAATGAAAAGATGCTTCGTTCTGTCCGAGGAGAGTCCGAGCCGAGACACCGAAACACCGAGACACCGAGACATCCGAGACACCGAGACACGAGACCGATACATCAAGACACCGAGACACCAAGACATCGAGACAACGAGACACCGAGACATCAAGACACCTAGACATCGAGACACCGAGCACAAACACGAGACACCGAGACACCGAGACACCAAGACACGAGACACCGAGACACCGAAACACCGAGACACGAGGACACCGAGGGACACCGAACACCGAACACGAAGACACCGAGACACCGAGACACCGAGACACCAAGACACCGACACGAGACACCAAGACACCAAGGACACCGAGTCACGAGACACCCGACACCGAGACACCGAGTCACCGAGACTTCTGGCGGGAAACTCATCGGGCACAATCGAATGCCGTTTGTTTATCTATGCAAATGGCGGTCTTCCCAAATGCATTGCCGACAAACAGGGTTTAACACATTTCTAATTTACAGGCGACAAATGTATACGATTGGGCGACTCGTTTCCCCCGCGCCGCTTTTGGGAGAATCAAAGGGAAACTCGCTGGACATTTATGTATAAGTTGGATTTATGTCCAACTTGTGCGACGTCGAAAGCACCTTTGATGATCGCTGTGACAGGGGGAGGGTAGGGGGGGAGGGGAGGGGAGGGGGGGGGGAAGATGGGTATGGAGAGGGAAGAGGGGTATGGAGGGGAGGGAGGGGAGGGAAGAGGGGTATGGAGAGAGGAGGGAGGGAAGAGGGATGGAGAGGGAGGAAGGGGAGGGAGGGAAGAGGGGTATGGAGAGGGGAGGGAGGGGAGGGAAGAGGGTATGGAAGGGACGAAAGGATAGACGAAGGAAAAATGACCGTGGGAAAAGTGAGTCAAAAAAAAAAAAAAAAAAAAAAAGCTAATCTTTTCTCAGACCAATTTTAAACTGATCTGGAAACAGAAGCGGTCGGAAAATGTGAAGAACACTTCGCACTTCAAAGAGGTTTGGCGTCTCTCAGCCGGCGACATTCGGAGACTTCAAATACAACCAATCTTCTCTGCTGATCATCACATTACATCTGATATCATAGCACATCATCACACCGCCTTTGATCGTCACCACATCTGACCACCATAACACATAACACTATATCTGATAATAGAAACACATCACACTACAACTGACCATAAAAACACATCACACCTGCCCATTAATTAAAACACATTACACGCTGCCCATTAATTAAAAACCATCACACCTCCCATTAATTAAACACATCATACCTGCCCATTAATTAAAACATATTACACCTGCCCATTAATTAAAACACATCACACCTGCCCATTAATTAAAATATATTACACCTGCCCATTAATTAAAACATATTACACCTGCCCATTAATTTAAAACACACATACCTGCCCATAATTAAAACATATTACACCTGCCATTAATTAAAACATCACACCTGCCCATTAATTAAAACACATCACACCTGCCCATTAATTAAAACACATCACACCTGCCCATTAATTAAAACACATCACACCTGCCCATTAATTAAAACACACCACATTCATTCACTGCCCATTAATCAAAACACATCACACCTGCCAATTAATTAAAACACATCACACCTGCCCATTAATTAAAACACATCACACCTGCCTGGCCCATCACACCTGCCCAAATTAAAACACATCACACTGCCTCAAGACAAATCACACTGCCCATTAATCAAAACACACCACACACAACACATCACACCCCATCATACACGTTACCACAACACATCACACCACATCCGATCATCACTACACCCCAAAGTTGCATCTGCACGACACCCAATGACCGCGATTGCAATGTCATCATTTGCTCTCTCAGCGACCCCTGACCTCGGCTGGATAGTCCATAGGCATCGAAGCCGGGCTGATGATCCTGAGACTCGTGTTGGAGTCGGGTCAAAGGTCATGCCGATGAAGGGTTCAAAACGCTTGTTAAAAAAAAAAAAAAAAAAAAAGACATGAAAAAACGAAATAAAAAAAGGATTCACTGCTATTGGAAATTCAGCGTCACTTTTTTTTTATCGCTGCCTGAGAGGACAGTGCACTCAGGATTTTTAAAAACATGACTTGTATCTTTTATTTCTCTTGACCCATATTTCATTATGATTCGAATAACAACACATACATACATACATACATACATACACACACACACACACACACACACACACACACACACACACATATATTATATATATATATATATATATATATATATATATTATAGAGAGAGAGAGAGAGAGAGAGAGAGAGAGAGAGAGAGAGAGAGAGAGAGAGAGACAGAGAGAGAGACAGAGAGAGACAGAGACAGAGAGAGAGAGAGAGAGGAGAGAGAGAGAGAGAGAGAGAGACAGACAGACAGACAATCAAACAGACAGTAAAACGGTCAAGAAAGAGGGGAAAAAACCCGAGACGGAGAAAGAAAAGGAGTGATAAAAAGGGCGATTGCGAGCCCGATAAGAGCCAAGACGTCGGCCCAATCTTTATTATTCTATCTCTCGCCGAAAGGAAACGGTTTATCGGCGCGGCTGACCCTCGGCGGGAACCTCCACGACTCAACCCCCGGAATGCGGCACCCTGGCAGACCCCTCCCCCGCCTCGCTCAATCCCCTCCCCCTCCCCCCCAGCTCAACTCCTCCACCCCCTCCGCCCTTGCCCAAGCCCTCCACCCCCTCGCCCAACCCTCCCCCTCCCCTAAAGATAATAATAATAATGATTATAATAATAATTATTGTGATAATACGAATGATTATAACAATAATAATGATAATAGTTACAATTATTATCATTACTACTATCATTATCATTACTACTATCATCATCATTACTGTCATCATTATCACTATCATTATTGTCGTTATCATATAATAATGATATCAATAATAGCAATAATGATAACAAAACAACAAAATCTTCATCATAATAATAATGGTAATAACAACAACAATAATGACAATATCAACAACAACGATAAAAATAATAAACAGAAAAAGTGAAATACATAGACCAACGAAATAACAATAACATCACGGATTTTAAGAAAAT